ATATCTCGACTTGTATTCAAGATCAATGGACATTTTTTCATCCAAATAAAGACAAGTGAACAAGCTTTAAGAGGATACCAATAACTCTACATGCCCAAAAATTGACGAGAGCCTGATTCCACCACGCTGCCTCACATATATATTGTTTTGGAGGCAGGTTTCTGACCCTGCCTGTCCGGGCCAAACCGAGCCCAGTAGAGAGATACAATAATTATGACGTAAACAGAATGACGGAGACACTCAAGACAAGTTGTTGTCCTAACTTGGAAATTGAACTCCGGTCCACTTTGTGCTTTTTAGTTTTAATAGAGTAATTTTACGGCACTCGCAACTGCATACGGTCATATGAGCACCAAGGGGGGAGGGGGATGTCAACAGAGAAGTACTTACAGGGAATTGGACTTACTCTGCTCACCTCTCTAGCTTCAACAGCACAGAGTCTGCTTCGACTATCAAGGCACCCCGGAAATAGCAGTTCAGAAGAGTGTGAGAAGCATAGAAAAGAAGTAGAGGAAAATAATGACAATAGTAAGGGTTAGGAAAGAAAAAGCACCATTTTCCTGTTGTAGTTCAGGCAGAGTGATGAGCGCTTCATGGATGAATGAGCCGATTTACAATTCTACAGTGAATAAGAACTCGAGATGTTAATGCCCCCCCCCCTCCTTTTGGAATGGCTTAAAGACTCTTCAGTCAGTACCACCGCCCGGGGGTTCACTTCGTGCGCCAGCGAAGGAACTTACCACTTACCACTATACCATTGTCGCCTCGGCACCGTGATCCTTCGCTTAAGCCCTGTTCACTTCAAGAAAAGAAATCATAACAGCAGCAAGCCATTCAATTGTTCTAAGCCCCACACACACACACAATTTTGAAATAGAAAAACAAAAATTGGACGACCAAAAAAAATTGCTTTATTCCTTAACAAACTGTACACAGATAATGTTTTTCTTGGCTATTGATGGGGTTTTTTTTTGGGGGGGGGGATTTATTGTTGTTTTTGTTTGTTTGTTTTGTTTTGGTGCTTGTTTTTTTGTTGTTGTTTGTTTTTGTTTGTTTGTTTGTTTGTTTGTTGTTTGTTTTTTGTTTTTTGTTGGGGATTTTTAGGGGGGGAGGGGGGGTTATGTATAGAATTTAAATATCGACCTACTTCTAGAGCACATAAAATACCGAGGTTGCGAAAATGCCATAAAAAGTTCTCAAAACGTATTGCTTGTTAAATCGGAACAGCTGACAGACAATACCTTGTTTCTATAAGACGCAAAGTTTGGACGAGTCTGTCTTTTTGAACGCCACACATGATCCATCTAAGTTCGGAAACTTGACTATTCTATGTGCGTGTGTGTGTGTGTGTGTGCGTGTGTGTGTGTGTGTGTGTGTGTGTGTGTGTGTGTGTGTGAGTTTGTTTGTGTGTGTGTTTGT